CAGCTAAGAAGGCCGAAGAGGAGCGAATGGCCAAGGAGGCGGAGGAGGAGGCGAAGAAGGCGGAAGAAGAGAGACTTGCCAAGGTGGCAATGGAGGCAGCTAAGAAGGCGGAAGAAGAGAGACTTGCCGAAGAGGCAGCGGAGGAGAAAGCGGAGAAGGCAGAAGAAAGCAGAAATGCCAACTCCCAGACGGAGGCTTGTTTGTTTTGGTCGTGTTGGCAGGCAAGACTGGATGCTGCTACACGGCACTTGGAAGATTTCACGCTTTTAGACATTGCTTGTTGCAGAGTTGCGCAGGTAGAGTTTTGCAACATCGCAGGCACGGAGCGCTGTGTTCAAAAGCATTGCAAGCATGTCGTTGCGATTCTCACTTGAATGTCAGTCCCGCCTCAGGGGTTCCCAACCCAAGCTTTTCCGCTCGGCTGCAGAAAGGTCTGCCCAGCCATGGGGTTCTCGCGCACCGCTATGTCTGAGTCTGCTGTGTGTGCCAGGGTTGGAAGGGCTAGGCCTGACAGTCCGGCTGTATCCGGATGTTCGAACCGGCTGGTGCCTCAAGGTCATCTTCGCTCACTCACCCTTCGCAAAGGTAGAACTCCAGCCAAGCAAGACATCTAACATCTGAGGCGTGCTGGCAGTGGTTGATGTTCACCCGCAGGACCGATCGTGCAGTAAAATCCGGAGAAGTCGCTGTACCTGAATGCAGGGCTCCGTGGCCAAGTACAACTCGCAACAGCGTGCGTCTGGCTGTTCTATGTTAATTCGTCCAAGGACATTCAGCTCGGCTTGCTCTGGACATCTGCAAGGGATAGACACTGCAGCATTTGTTCAACGCGGTTTCTCAGACCAGCAGGATGCTGATCACTGAAGTGAATGGCATCCAGGGAAACACCGAGGCCATGCTCGAGGCATTCTGGAAAGTGCATGGAAGGTGTGCGTTGTACAAGTCCTACAAGTATTTAACGTGGTGCAGGCCTTTCAGGTTTCGAAACACCAATGAGTGTTGCTGAACAGGCAGTCTGAAAGGTTTTACATGGCATGCTGGTCATGTTACGCACCCCAGCCCGCGCGTCAGGTACTTCCACGGGTTAGGTACTTGTCACCTGGAGGATGTGGGATGTTGCTTCCTCTTTCAATACCTTTTTGATGGGTTAGCTGCTCGGAGTAACTCCAAGAGGCACTTCGCAAGAGGGAGCTTTTAGCGCGCATTGGACCCACCCGCCTCCCCGAGGGTGGGATCCTTTCGCGTGTGTCAAGTATCTCCGCAGGTTAGTCCTCTTTCAATACCTCTCTGCGGGATACCTGCACGATCTCTGCAAGAGGGAATCCTTTCGCGCGCGCTGGATGCCTCCCCACCCCACCACCCATCGCATAACGTACCTGCCTGGGAGGGGCGGGGGATGCAGCCTGGCTGGTGAGGCTCTTAGCCGAAGCTTCTCGCTACAACTGCGACTGTGTCGGAGAGCCCAGTGGACAGAGCTTGTTGTGGCAGCTGCCAGTGATGCCTTGACTTTGCTTCTCTTGGTCAAGTCTGGCTCTTTCTGAAGGTGCAGCGCATGTTTCAGAGCTGGCCGAGCAGAAGCATACATCTCCGAAGGCCCCGTGAAGTGCACATAAGCTGCTCTGCGGTCCAGAGCGCGAAAACGACCACAGTCCGGAGGAGATTGTGTCTATGATGAATGCGATCCGAGCTGTCAGAGTTTTGCGAAGCTCTTCGTGCACACAGATGGGGCCTGAGTGTTGGATCGAGGATAAAAGCTGTTCTGTGCAAAAAGCTACATTGACATGTCTCGCTCCTTCTGCGCGCATGCACTGTTGCCATGGTTACTACTGTAGGAAGCAGTACCGTCCCTGACGACATTTCTATTGACCGACCCGATATATTTCTTCGGTTTGCAACGTGACCTTGCCCAACGGGAAGGAATGGAAGCATCAACGCAAGTATGGCCGCATCATTCCAGAAGCTGTGTTTGTATCAAGAGCAAGGAATTGGACTGGCAGGTGCTGACAGCTCGATACTTGAAGCCTCCATGCTGAGATCAACAAACAACAACGATGTCGCAGGCAAGTTTGTCTTGAGATTTTTTCATAGCTGTGAACGTTCTCTACATTGGATTGTGATGTGTGGAACGAGGCTTCGATCCCAAAGTGTTCCTTACTCGCTTTCCGACCTATGTCACTTCACGACCTGGCCTCGACAAGGCTCTATTGCCGGTTCTCTTGGAACGGTCTTGCATCCTCACCTGTGCCGCGAGTGTCTCTGGCACTTTGGCTCCCGCTTTGGTGTTTTCTCGGTTCACCCCCCCTCCGAATTGTCGATGCTAGTTCCTGACCTATCCATTACCCATGTTCCATACTCCTAATCTGTCATCCTAAACCTAAAATCCTAGCGCTTTTGCTGCACGCAGGAATTCGGAAGAAAGAGCAAGTGATCGAAACCGCAACGAAGGACGCTGGAAAGCAAAGATACCTATCAACGACTGAGAGTTTCGGACGTGCAAGCAGCGGCCCAAGCTCAGCTCTCACCACGCCGAAGCCTCGGTCCCCTAGGCAAGCAGCCCTACCCTACAACAGACAGCAAATGTCGTGCAAAGCTCGACCCACCCCCTCTCCACTCAAGCTGTGATTCTTCTGTCGTGTTTCGATGTCGCCTTGCGCACACGTATACTTTGGAGCGAGCTACCGGACAAACAGTGCTGCGGCTTCCCCGTGCCTGTTTTGATGCCCTTCACATCAAGAGAGGAGGGATAGGGCATTGCGGTCACGTGACCGAGGCCCATGTACCCACATGACGAGAAGTCTGACAATTGCCGAACGTTTGGTGGGCTTCACCTGTAGATCCACCAGTTTTGTACATACAGTAAGTGTACGCCAGTCGTCCCAAGTCCCAAAGAAGGACTATTCCTGCGGCTAGGTGTCGAGATTTGATGCTGTCCGCTCGAGCTCGTCATGGATAGCAACACTAGCGGTCACTAGCGGCCACGGTTCAGCCCAAGGCTCAGCTATGCCGGATGACGCGCACTCACCTTTCGTACAGTAGGTGCAAAACAGGACGAGGTTACTGATGGTTACTGACTGGTGCGTTGCGATTGCATGAATCGCATAAAAGCATGAGAGTTATGAGCCTTGAATTTGCCCTGAATCCAACGAAATAACGCCTGCTGCGCGTCCCGTGACATCAATGAGCAAGACGGGCAAGTCAGAGTAGGCAGTGAATGAACAGTGGACATGTGAGTAGTCCGCACCTTCCGGCGCACCTCCCATGGAGAATGGAATGCAAGAGAATTGGCAGCAGCTTTTGCTTCCTGGAAGGCTCATTGGAGAGGCACTAGCACAAGACGACCATTTCCTTTCTTTGGAGGAGTGCTGCACAGCTGGAGTTGGCAGTGCAGACTACGACTTCAGCTCCCCCCAGTTCACTGCAGAGATTGCGGGCAAGGGCTTGCCAAATTTCGGTGCTGCACATTTCACTCGGCAAGGCATGCTTCCAGAAATTCAGAGGTTTTGGCGTTCTTTCGACTCGAGGATCGTGCTTTGGAAGTATGCTGATCTGGATATGCAAGAGATGACTGACTACACGGGCGTGAGATCCTGAGTTGTTTAATTGCATTCGTAGAAGCGAGCTCTGGGTTGAAATCCATTTTCGTAGGTGATCTGGCAGTCGGGCAGGACATGGAAAGATATGTCTGCGAAGTGCCTGCCCCCTGAAAGGGCATAGGGTGTGCTACGGAATCCGAGCCCTTGCAAGTGCTAGTTCCCAACAGCACATACTGTTGGGTTTCAGTCTCTAAACAAAAGAGGCCCAGATCAAAAAAGACGCGGACGGAGGACGACGGAATAAACCGGAAATGAAACGGAAATGATGAAATATGAAGGACGGAAACTTCCGGAAACAAGACAACGGAAT